TATATGGATATATACATGTGAAGTGGCTTTGGCTTTGGCTTTGGCTTTGACCTGCGGGCGGCCTACACATATTAGCATTGTTGATTTTGAAATGCTCAGCGAGGTGCTCCAAAGGGCACAACAGATCTCCCGGTAGTTATTGATAAACGAAAATTGGCCACCAGACAGAGTTCGAGATCATCAGAACCACCCGACCATACACACGAAGAAAAACGTCCCATGAAAACATACATTTCAAATAAATCTCGAATGTTTAATAAATGTTGATATACTTTCACAAAACAAAGCCTTAAATTCTGTATAAATAAATAATTTTAAAATTATAAATGTCAGAAGCCATCGATTTGAAAACGTTTAACTTTATTCAAGTCTAACTTAATGTATAATAAATTTTTTCTCTGTAATATTTTAATTACTGAGGCCCCTGCAGACCCGAGCAATTTGCTATACCAGATATTCCCCAATATGTATAATTTTTCCCCGTGCATATCATATATCTTTTGCATCTACCCTACCCTGTCTATCAGCCATAATTGGGCCCTAACTGACTCACTGCCAGCCAAACCATGATTGGCTTAGTCCGAGAACCCTCAAGACTCAAGACTCAAGTCTGATGTCTGAAAACTGAAGTCTGGGCCTCTGAGTTTGTGGCAATTAAACGATTTCGTTTCGTGTGCTGTCTTCAGCTGTCTGGGCCTGCTGATGCTGCATGATTAATATGTTTTTGAGTAGTTCTTAGCCAAGGGCCACCATCGGCTAAACAAGCCACGATTTGTATTTTGTTTTCGGGGGCCAAAAAAGAAAAAAAACAAAAAAAAAAAAAAATGAGGCAGGAAAAGCCAAGTCAGTTAGTCGGTTGACAAATCGTTTGTAAATGGCTGCCAGACAAAAGTGGAACACACGCACTCTACATGGGTCGAAATTTGGGGGACCCACCGCTCCATCGACAGAACTCAAGAACTGACCATCGAAATTATAGGGTTCAAAAGTGTGCCTGGTCAGCAATCAAAAGTTCATCAAATATGTATGGTATTTTGGGGAATTGTTTGGGGGTTGGCATTCTGTTGAATTTCGAAAGATTTTAAAATCATGTTTTTAATTTTAAGGGATAGAGATATTCAAGCTTTTTATTATATAAATTATCGAGAATTTTGTCCTTTATGATCGTATTTAATTGATAAAATTAACGTAAGTCTCTATTTTAATTGATTCGCCCCACTACTTGTTGCAAGCCCCAATCGTCTTTTCCATCCACAAATCGAGCTCAGTCAGCAAACAATCGACTGAACACGGCTAATCCCTCAGTCCAATGTCGAATTGCCAACACCTGCCACTCATTGCAATCATCCGGGTTACCCATTTATCCGGTTGGCCACTTGAACAACTCGATTGGGAAAATGGTATGGTAAATCGGCAAATGCAAAATCACAAATCGCATTCGGTCACAAATGGCAATCCCATTAAGTCAAGGCGCAGCTTTAAGAAATCCAATTAAATGGCAAATAGAACAAAAATATTGAAAAAAGGAGGGCGGTGACAATAAGGAGCTCAAGCTGGATACTGGATCCTGGATGCTGGATGCAAAAAACCCCACATTGAATGTCTGCATAATAATGCCTAAATAATGAGTGAGTGAGTGAGTGAGTGAAGAGTGCGAAGCACTCCAAAGACATTAGCGCACTTGAACCAGGGAGCAAAATGCGAGGATATTATGGCCTGCCACTCGGCTGGCGGAAATGTTTTTCATTTTTTCCCTAATGAGCGCCAAAAAAAAAAAAAACGAAATGTATAGGCAGTTGAGAAAGAGACAGCCAAAGTTGGAAAGGGAGAAAGAGGGAGAGAATGCTTTTGGGTGTTTGTCAAGTACAGGCAGTACTCCACTGGATCCACATAGACCCACCCACTCTCCCAAGAACCTCTCTTTTTTCCGGGTGTCAGGTTAAGTGTGCGAGCGAAATAGCATTGGCTGTTGGCAATTTGCATCCAGTGCAGCTAACAAATGAGCAGAATAAATTAAGACAAAGCGGGCACAAGCAAAATGTACACTTAAAAAAAAGTAGACATAGCTAATTTAAGTTCCTATCTTCAGAACCAATTTATCTTTGTAAAGAGGTTATTCTTATTAGCTTAAAATAAATCTTAAAGACTTTAAATATGTATTTACCTGGTATTAAATATTGTTCTCTTTTTGTAATATTTATTTTATTGACTTACATTTAAAATTGACATAAAAAAAATTATTTTATGAAATCTTTTTTAATCTAATCCCTATATAAAAAAACTATATAAAGTAGATACTTAATTTATTTAAAAGAAGACCTTTTTCGAAATAAACTTTCTTTGTTTTTAAAAACAGTAAAAAAAATTAAAAAAAAAAAACAAAAAACCAGGAATAATTTTTAAAAGATGGGAAAAAGAAGAAAAAGCAAAGATGCATTCCAAGGATCTGTAGAGTGGGCAGTGAAATGCAGCTCGAAAGCAGGAGAATCCATGGCCGCTTGACAAAAGACACTTGAGGCCAAACAAAATCAACAAAAAAAATTAAAATAAAAACCAAAAGGAAAAGAAAAAGAAAAGGAAAGATGACGAAGCTGGTGAGAAAGAGAAGGAGAACGAAAGCGAAAGCAAAAGCCCAAAGGTGCAAAAGGGGCCAGAAAGAGAGCGAGCGAATGCAATGGCTTTGCCACAATGGCGGAAATGTGTGAATGAGAGGTGGCCACTTGAGCCAACGAAAGAGAGGGGCGTATGCCGAGGGAAAGAGACGAGGAGTGCGACTATAATTAGCACGCAAAAACGCACTCGCCAGCAACAGCCCGGGCAATTAAACTAGGTACACACTCCATACTCCACACTCCACACTCCGCTTCCCTTCGCAATTTGTCATCGCCTTGAGTGCATTTTAATCGCCATCAAAATCGTAAACGTAATAATAAAAAAAAAAAAAAACGAATATTTATATATAAATAATAAATAGCCAGAGGGCGCCCAAGGGTTAATTGCTAACCCACTTGGTCGATCGTCGCCCGCTTAATTACTGGAAAGCGCCCACTGCTGCACCACTCAACTGCTAAACTACTCAACCACCTCGGCCAGTGGGTCAGAAATTGTTGACTTGCACAAATTGCTTTATAATCGTCATCAATAAATGAAGCCGGTCATTAGGGGGTCTGAACCACCCCACCACCCCACCACCACACTGCCACCCCCAAAAACAGTAACCATCAACCAGCTACAGCCCCATCTTCAATCCAATCCAATCCACGATAAACCAAATTGTTAGACAAATATAATTATTCAAGTTCCAAAACAGAAGAGGTTATTGAGGATGTTCATGGGGTGTTGGAAATACCTATGGGATATATTTATATCGCATTTGAGGAAACTACTTTATCACCTTATTTACAGTCTAAAATGAAGCATAATTATTAATGATGACATCTACCTATGATTCCCATATCTATACCCAAAATTAACTGATGCCAAAAAGTAAATACTTATTTATTATTATTGAAGTAGCTTAGAAGCAAATTGATTGTTTTTACTTTAATAATGATAAGGACACCTAAAAAATTATGCTTGATATTAACAAGCCTTTAAGAAATAACCAAAAAAAAAATGCCTAGAAACGATTTCCGAGTGTATGTCAAAAGGAGATCTTTCATCCATGAATGCGAGCCGTTCACATCCAGTTCGATATATTAAAAACACATATTAATGATTCAACCTTGAATAATTTCTGATTGCAATTTCGTCGAGGTTGTTGTGTGGTGGTGGGGATTGTATTTATTTACGTATTTTTAGCAGTGATCGCATCGCCAGCAAAAGTGATCAGACAATCCCGAGGATGGCGTGACTCAGGTTCAGAATCAAATCAAATCGAATCGAATCGAAAACGGGGCGCCGTCGGGAATGAATCGGAATCAGAATCGAAATCAGAATCAGAATCAAAATTAAAAACACTAAAGTCGAAACCTCCTCCTTTTCTCTTTTTTCGTTCGATGATTTCAGTGGAAGCAACAAGCAAGCAGGCTACGTGTCACAAATTATTAATAATCTATAATAAAAAGTATAATTTCATTTAATAATGAGACGCGTGTAGAAATCGTCAGGATCCTCTTGTATTCGAATTTTTCATTTAATAAATCATCGAAAAATGAAGTTGCCGCCGCAGACGCATACTAATTTTTCCTTCTTCTCTTGAGTTTAAGTATTTACTTGTATTACTTTTTTCGGTGGTTGACCACGTTGCGCCCATTTTGTGGCGCCAGGGTCGGCGTTGCATGTGCCTCCACCGCCTTTTTCATTTTTCCATTTTTATTTTTTTTTTTGTTTTTTTTTTCTCGGCGTTCCTCATCGCTGGCAGTTAAATTTTTGTTGGTTTTCCAACGTGACGCCTGTCAGCTGGCATTTTTCAGTTGGCGGGAGTGAGAGGGCCTCTATAAATTGGTAAGAGCGCTGTGGCCGAGACAATTAAATGCCTAATTTTGTGTTGAACCCCCGCTCACCCGTGGCGTTTGTTTTTCCAAATAATTCATTAATATTTTTCTGTTTCTGTTTCGTTTTTTTTTTGTATGTGTTTTTGGGTAATTATGACCTGAGTTGCATGTGCAATGCATTTCGTTTTTGTTGGGCGTTTTGGGTGCCAATTTCATGCGCTTTTCTCGTTAAAAGCGATAATTTATCAACAAGCTGGAAATGTGGCTGCCCGAGGGAAGTTGGAAAAGTGGACAAAAAAAAACATATACTCCCAAGTCAGGCAAAAGTTCAAATGTTTGCACAAATCTCTTTTTTTTCGTGAAGCTTTGATTTCTGTATTTTACAGTCGGGTGTGGTGATTATTGATTTGCTTTTCTCAAGTATATTGATTACTGTTTATACATACTATGATTACGAGATTTTTTATTTAGATAGCCAAACATTTGAATTTAATTTCTCTACTTAATTGAATTCCTTTCGAATGTTTTACTTATTAAATGTATTATCATTTGTTTTCTTTTCAGTTTTTAGTGGGCATTTTCACTCGAGCGGAGAAACTGAGCCACAAGACAAAACGAGGCCATTATCTCTCCACTGTGCAGCTGCCACGCCCAGTGTGTAACGCCCTAGTCCGGGCATACATATATAGTCATTCATCTATTTTCCACCAGCTGGTCAGGTAAACACTACACTACACATGAAGAATGCGTATGCATACAATTTTCTATTTTATATTTCATTATTAATTACAAACTAAGTAGAAAGTGTTTTGTGAATTTCAAAGTTTTTGCGGTTTTAAATAACATGTAAATATTTTTTTTCTGTGCATAGATCAGGGTCCGGTTCGCTTCAGTTTGGACTCTCATCATCTGGCTGAGGTGCAACGATAACAATAATTGCCCAACATTATCTAGGTTATTATTTCGTTATATCTGCCTGATGATGTTGTTGTTATTGCCACTGACCCGTGTGTGTGTGTGTGTAAATTATCGGGGAGTATATGGTGAAATATAGTGGAAAATGTATAAGAATAGGCTTCGCTCCATTTGCCAGCGGCATCGCATCGATTGATTCAATTAATTATCCCACTAATAGTCCATTTTTTCCCCCTCACTTGTTTTTCTTTTTGTTATTTGTGCATGTGTGTGTACTGTGCTGTGCACCTTGGCTAATCAAGTTTTCTCTATATTTTCTCTATATATTTTATTACACAGATATCGGTATGCGCTTCCTTTATGCAAATAAACACACAGTTCGTCATACATTTTGAAAATTGTTTTCCCAGTGATTGACGCTTTGACAGAGACAACTTAGTTGTCAACACGCAAGAATCATGTCCACAGCGGAGTTGTGATATACCACACATACTATAAATGGCATTCATATGTGGGGATACCTATACCTTTATAATATTCCGCCACAGCAACTATCAATCTATGACAGCCCCCTGAGTTTTTTTTTTTTTTTGTCACAGGCGCCCCTTTTCGTTTTTAATGAGAGACAACACAGAATTTGCGTGCAACATCAAAGTTGTTCTCGTTGTTGTCTGGATATTAGATGTTGTTAAAGTTGTTGCCATAATTGTTGTCATACTGTCTCTAACTATATGGTTAATGGCATGGCGACGATAAGTCAGGCCAATAATCGAATCAAATATAGGAAGTGAAACCATAAGAGTGTCAACCTAGATTATAATGAACAGCAAAAACTAGAACTAGTTATTTATTCTGTGCAACATCAAAGTGTTTTAGGTTTTTTTATGGGCCATTGAACTGTTGCCTTTCAGGGTTTTCTAAATGATTGCCAAGAGTAAAGGGAGATAAAAGCCATATTTTCAACAGGTGACATTCTGGTGGCCAATGACTTTCACTTGGCCAGAAAAAGCAAAAAAGAATCTCCCAAAACAAAGACAGATAAGCGATGGCAAACAGAGAGAAAAGAATGAATGGTTTTATTTTTGGGGAGCTGCAGTTGGGATCTCGGCAAACATTTTTGACTAAGTAAAGATCAACAAGGGGATCAAAGGTTGCCAGAATTTTCGGTATCTTCATATATGCCAGTGGCGCCAACAAAAGATAAATCTACAAAATGTAGGGGAAAATAACTTTAGAAGAAAATTGGGAACACTAAGATAAAAGATCAAAGCCGGCGACATAAAGAAAGTTTAGATTTAAATTTAAATATGGAATATTAACGAAAAATACAATTACTCCATTCCTATTGTTTTATTATTGTTTTTCATAAATGTTAAACAAATAAACACATGTAATCTAGCAAACTGAAGACTGTAACTGCATCAAAAGAAAAACACTGTATACACAAAAATATGAATAAGACAAAGGCCTGATATCTGGTGACCTCCGAGATTATAGAGATTAGTTTGAGGCGCCAGCGGAGGCAGCTTCCGTTTGTCCCACTCAAGTGTTGCAAGCTGTCTGAAAACGCTATCTCTTCTGAATCTGAATTTGAATCTCAATCTGAACCTGAATCCGAGTCCAAATCCGCATCTCTCTTGAGAGACTTGCAGACAAGTCAAACAAATATCTTAAATTCAAATGGAAACAAAGGCAAACAAACAGACAAACAGACAAACAAACGAATAGACGAACAGACGAAAGATGCCTGAGTTGGGGACAAACATTTGAATACCAATAGAGATTTACACAATGTGGTAGCATGTTTGAGGTGTTTAACTGTCACCTCAGACTTAGGCACTCTGCAGATAACATTCCGTATAACATAACGATCCTATTCCAAGTGATCTGATGGCGCTTGCTCAGTCACAGTAAAGATCTACACTTGGCAAAATAAAAAACAATATAAAAAGAAAGTGTAGGTTAATGTTTTTAATGAGTATATCATAACTATAACTCGTTATTGTCATACATTCCTCTGTATTCTATTCTCTTTATGCCACTAAATATTATAATTTTGTAATTTATTTAATTTAAGAGCATTCCTATTCAAGTTGACATACACAAGTGATATTTTCTCCCTCTGCAAGGGGCACACTTTATGGCAAAGTGCGTCTGTGCGTAGATAGTCGCGTTGAGAAATCTATTTGCCTGACAAATATTGCACTTCCTGTGCCCCATCCCCATCCCCTTTGGAAATCCAAGTCAAGCTTGCCTATTTGCGTTGGCCTAATGGAAAACCCCCCCCGAAAACATTTCCTGTGATCTCCTTTTTGGCAACAATGGCCAAACAATGGGCTTTTCCTCGCCAGCTGGGACTGCTCACTTGGATTTGTTGTTATATCTGTTTGTTATGTATGCGACTGGATGACAAGGTACCAAGATGTGTTTTTTTTTTTTTTTGTGTGTGGGGGTAAGGGGTCCTAATCGCTCTGCACGCACACTTGCCGCACAATGGAATGTTGGGTATCCTGGGGATCCTGGGCCGCAGCATGTGTGCATTGTCCTCTGGCATCATAAACTCGTCTTCAGCTGTCGTCGCGCGCCCTTAATTTCTAAGCATTTGTTTAGACATTTAGACATGCACCGCAGAGCGCAAGGAGACAATAAAGAAATCCCGAGTAGCATAATAGTAATCAAAAAAGAAAAAAAAACGTAGAGAAAGACCAGAAGATTGCGGTGGCTGCACTGCGGGAGACGCGGCGTATGAGCAATCTCCGAATCCGAAAACCTCAAGAAAAAAAAAAGAAGTATGCACACGAAAAGAAATAAAAGAGGAACAAAAGTGGGCGTGGGCCTGGTTAATTATGTTGTTAGACAACGATCGGATGCCAAGGCACAAGATGCGTCTTTTCACTACCTTTTTCCCTAAGGATATTAGGATAGGATAATCTTGTTGCTGCGGCTCGCACAATCCTGCCATTCAGAAAACATCCATTCGATCCGATCCGATCCGATACGATACGATCCCATCAACAGAATCGAATCGAAACCTAAGCCGAAACCGAAACCGAAACCGAAGCGAAAGAATTCAGGGGCGGGCAGCAACTAATCATCAAGGGGATTAACTGCCATTGAGAGGACCATTCCTGACTTCTCTCCTTTGTGGCCCGATGTTAATGAGGGATTGGAAAAGTAGTCGTAGCAGAAGGTATCATAGGAAAACCCCTTGAAATTATCCCACATAATTGGGTGCAGTTATAGCCATCGTAGATTATAGGTTCAATTTTTTTACGTTAAAGGAGATATTGGTAGTTTTTATTAGTTCATTGCATTTTAAATGCTTATAAATCTATTATATTAATATTAAATTAATACAAGCATATCATATTTTTGTGACTCAAACCAATTACTCCAAAAACTTTTCAAGATCACATCCACTTAATTAAATCTCCTCCAAACCGTGAATTTTTTCCAAAATTTTCCTGTCTCTTATCTAAGCCAAGTGTTTTCCTCAAATGCGGACAAGCAGATGTAGATAGTGTCCAGAAATGCCAGGCCAAATCGAAATCTCACTCTGGCCAAGCCCATCCCGGTTAGGGGTTAAGGGTTAAGGGGATTGAGAGGGATTGAGAGGGGTTAAGGGGGTCTTCTGTAGGACCCCCCCTGGGGCATTAGCATATTACTCTTGGATCCGGGGATCTATAGGCTAAGGCTAACGTGACCAGCGGCACTTAAAGTCCTCCATTTTTCTTCTGCCTTCCCATTTTTTTTTTTGGGTGTTTTGTCACAAATTTTGGAACATTTAGTTTAGGTTTCTGCGGTCGCCGGGCGTTGAAACTAATTAACATATTTAATGTTTTTGGCACGTTTGAGTCCGTGGGTTTGGCCCTGCGAAAGAGTCCTGGCGCCAGGCCTAGTTAAAATCTAATAAAAACCTGAGCATGCCTCATAAATTTCACTCCCACAACACCCCCTCTATGCATATATATATATTTTTTTGTTTTTTTTATTTTATTTTAGTTTCGAGAGGGGTTGGTTGAGCGCCTAATGGCGAACGCGCTTTTATGTTAAATTAAACCCGAGATCCGTCCACATTCAGTTTTTTTTTATTTTTGTTTTTTGGGGTGGCACTTCCCAAATGCCAAAATGCTGAATGTTGAAAACGAGGTGGCAAGTACGTTGTCGCTGAGGTGCGACAAAATATCACAAATAAAAATTCCATTTTGTGTTTTGGAATTTTTTAATATTCAAATGAAGTCGCGCAAGGGTGAAGCGAAATTTGCCTTTGAAGAGTTTGCCGGGGTAAGTTTTGTTTTTTTTTGTTTTTTTTTTTTTTGTATTTTTCATTCCAATTCAAGGGCCTTAAAGTCAGCACTTTAAGTGGAAAGGGCCTGAAAAAAGCAAAAGTTTTCAAAAGCTATGGGATTTTACAAGGACATTTTCGTTCGATTTAATGAAACGATGAACAGAAAGAGTGATTCAGCATTTTACATTTTTACACCATTTTCAACGAAGCTAAAATATCTTTTAAGCTACTCTAGAGATTAAAATTCATTGGATTTTTTTTTTTTTGTGCTGCAAACAAAGCCACTTGTGGTAAGTTGAAAATAAAGCACTTCCTCAACTGGAAAAATGTGAATTATGAAAGATTCACTTAAAAAGAAGCTATAAAATCTAACCAAAGCTCCATAAAAATGATTTTCCAATCACAAGCGCCAACTTAATCTACGTCATACCCCCCGGTTTCACCTGGTTTGATTCCCAATCCCAATCCCATTTACCATGCTCCAAACCGAGTTACGCCCTCCGGCAAATTGCGTGTGGCTTCCATCAGTTGAATGATTGATGGATGGCCCAGACCAGTTTCTCTGGAGAAAAATAAAAAAATAAAAAAAAAGAGAGGGGTACGCAGAGACGTCAGACGAAATAGCCAGCTGTTGCGAAAAAATGATATTGCTCCTTTCACTTGGCCAAACGGAGGAGAACAGCAGGCCTAATCTAGCACTGATCGCCAGTGATAACCAGCCATTGATACCCTTTTGCTCTCCGTCCGGAACTCGGGACTCGAGACTCGGGACTTTTGGGCACCGCATGATATGATATGTCTGCAGATAGCGGTGGCATTAGGCATTAGATAAGAAATCAGGCATTTATACATATGAAAATATATGTATATATATATATATGTATATGGGTACAAAAGGCGCACGGGGGACGGTTATTTGTGGTTGCAACAGCAGCAACATCATCATCATAATCATCAACCGTAGGTAGGAAGCATCCTCAATTTATGGCTTAGTATTTCAAGGGTTGCCCTTCCAGGGGTTGCACCACCAGATCCCAACTGCTCACCATTCATGTCGAGGGTAAGCAGGCGAAAGAGAGTAGCCTACCGATCGAAAATCGATGCCAAACGAATTAACTACTAGACTTTGTAACAAACTATTCTTTACGAACAAAAGAAAAACTAATAAACTATGTACATACAAATATGCTGCAACTCTAGAACTCTATTTATAATAAGCTATTTATTATATGTTCGGTTTTCCTCATCAGCTTAAAAAATATTTTACAAATTACATAAAACTGCGCTTAAACTTGGTCTTCCCATATATTATGAGTCCAGTAGTTAGAGTACACATTCTTTGGTGTACTTAAGGACCTTCAAAATAGCTGAAAATACTTTTGCTTTTCCTATCGAGTATAAGACTGTTTGGCTGACATTTAAGATACACTTCTTTAATTTCTTTATTACACTTAATAATCAGAAAATGCTCTCAAGACTTGGAATAGGAATAGCTAAATCGATTCGCAGTTAAGTGATCAAGGTGGTTGGCAAGGCAGCCAGGACCTTTGTCCAGGGCTAATTGGTGGCACAATGAGCACTCGCACTCGCACTGGCTCTCGCATTCCATCCACTCGAATCCACTTCAATTCAGAGCCCCCACTCTTTCAATGTCTTCTTCGTTCAGAGACCACGAGCCAAGGATCTGAATGCGAGGCTGTCAACTTCAAAAGAGTCTTTCAAATTGTATAGTGGGCAACACCTAACTACCTGATGGACCGGGATGGCCTTTAAAGAGCGCGTCTATAGCAGACAAATTGGCCATATCCCATATCCTAAAACCCATGTCCCATATCCCCGAATATACACACACACACACACACACACACACACGTGCAGTTGCTGCCGGCCGCCTTTGATTTTCTAAGCGAATTGTTTCAAGAAAACCACCAGAGGACGCTGCACGAGATTGAGGTTGAGCCACGTAGGTATATGGTCTATATGGCTTATTTTATCCAAAGGACTAAAGGACTCGTGTGTGTGTGTGTGAGAGTGTGTGTTCCTTGCGCCTCAATTAATTTGATTTGCGTCCGTGTTCGTGTCCGGAAATGGAACTCCACTTGAGTTTAGTTTTGTCAACCCGTTCCGTTCAGTTCAGTTCCACTCCTCGGACACAAATTTTTTTCTTTCCTTTTTTTTTTTGTATTTGTATTTTTCGCTTCGTCTGCTAAGGATTGGGATTGGGAATCTGTTGGCTGGGATGATGCTCGAGACCACTTGGATATGGTTGAATGGGCACAGAAGATGGCCAACTATGCTTTGAACTATCGGGGAAACTAATGGCAGCAGACATACATTTGCCCCACCTCCCGACTTCACATCTTTTCCTCCTTTGACTGGCTACAGCTTAGCACACATTAAAAAAAATATTTATAAAGTATTGTAACTTGGCAATAAATCTGCTCTTCAATGTATTATATTATATATATTTTATTTTAGTTTTCTGCTTATTATTTAGATTATTATTGCTATTTGAAAAAATTAAATCTTTGTTTAAAACCAAATTTGTATTTTAAATTCGTACAAATTTTTTTAAATGAAAGTAAAAGTCTTGTACATATTTTAACTTTCTTATTTGTTTTTTTTTTTTTTTTATTTAAAAATGGTTTTCAAATTGTTAATATAAATTTATTCGCTCAGCCAGGATGCTATTTTTATTTAGATATTTCTTTTAAAAAATATATTCCAATGAAAGGGGATTGGACTCATGCCTTATTCCAAAAAAAAATGTAAAATAGTCCATCAAATTTTGTCTGTCCCTTTGTAGGAATTTTTTTTCAGCACTTACAAAAGGAGTTGGGATTGCTAATTGGAGTAGAGAGTGTCCCAACTTGAGCTGCAACAATTAAACGCATTAGGCGACACCTTCCTGCCGCCTGCAACCCACCCTCCACCCTGCGAACCACCCCCTTTTCTTCCCCCTTTTAGCGGTTCATTATGCCTTATTAGGGTGGCTCTTTGCGGCAACATGGCCGACTAACGCGCACACACTCTCATCTGAAACACACACACACACACAAATGCATAATATGCAATATCAAATACCGAGTGCAAAGGGCGTTTAAAAACGCGCGCGTTTTCTGCCGCCCGCTAAGTGCATTTCAATGTATGAAAAGCCGCTTCCGTTTCCGCAACGCTTTGGAGCTCTGCCCTTCCTTCCCCAATTTATATATATAAATAAATGTACATATATATATATATTTATAAAGATGGTAGAACAAAGGTGGGCCACAATTACGGAATTGCGGGTTTGAAGGCCTGCGACGACGACTTTCCGTAGTTGTTGTTTTGACACGCAGCCAGCGAGAAGTAGAAACAGAAAATCACCCATGAAACCCATAAAACCCAACGCCCACTGACCCCACTGACCCCACCGACCGACCGCAAAAAGTGTTAAATTATAGACTTTAATAGCGCTCGGGTCCCCGGTATATCCCATATATGATTATATGATTATAACGCTTTTGAGAGCGTCAACAGCTGGCGACACTCAAGGGTGGATGTTGCTATTGCTGTTGTGTTGTGTTGTTGGTTGTGTCCAGAAACTATCAAAGTTAAACAGCATAATCTCCGATATTTGAGTAAATAACATATTGATTTATTTACTGGATAGGGTAGTTGTGTCTTATCCTAAGGGTTTCCAAGAAAAGGAAATTCGCTCTTGTGGCTGAGTGGCCAGTAAATAAATTTCATAAAACTTTATTATTCCTAAATATCAATGGTTTAACAAAATAACAAGAAGCCTTGAGTTGGAACTATCGTTTACTTAGTTAAAAACCAAACATAAATTACCTCTACTATTATATAATAAAAAGTATACTTCTTAAAATAGATGTAGATATTAAAAACTTCTGGGTAAATAAAATATACTTGTATGTATTTAACATTTTTAGTCTGAACAAATAAAATACGTTCTTAATACATTTACCATTTCGATTTTATTATGCCAAACTTAATAACCCCAATTTTAATATGTTAGGCTCTCGACTATATTTCATTGAAATATGTATTAAAGAACCACTCGATTAAATAAATAGCCACCGATTGGGACACCGATCTCGAGCCGATCCGATCCGAACCGATCCGGAATCGCTGGCCACACCACACGCAGCGTCGGCATTTTGGCGTTTGAACTAAGCGAAATTAATGGCCAACACAGGCTACTTAGGCGGAGGCCCACGCACACGGGACACGGAGGATTGTCCAATTGTCCGGGGATCGGAGGAGGAGGCATATACATATCTGGAGGAGGAGGAGCCCTTATCCGCCGCTTGTTCGCTGTGCGATTTATGACTCGGCATGCAAAACGAGCCGAGATATAAAACACACAAAAAACAACAAAAAACGGAAAATACAAAAAAATACAAAAAAGGAGGGGCGGAGACATGACACAAAACTGCAGAACCACATGGCGCCCGCCCAAGATCATAATGATCATCGTGGTGATCCGCTGGTGAAAGAGGGAGAAAAGGCGAATTTATATAGTCACAACGGGTGGGCCCGAGCCCACCGTTCGATCAATAAAAATGAAAATTTGCCCAGCAGTTGATGAAATTTACGCGATCGGCGTCGGCACAACTACAAAGTCAAAAGAAAGAAAGAAGCGCGCGCGCGCACTTTAGCGGCCTTCAAATGAAAAGTCCACCGACAATTTGCCTGGCGCCCCTTCTTTTCCATCCAGAATCACTGATACCCGCGATTCTCTGAATCCCCGATCCCTGAATCCCCGATCCCCAAGCTTATCCCATCCGCTTCATGCGTGTGAGAAGTTTTAGATAAGCCCGAATAAGGAGTACCATATACACTTCAAAGTGCAAAACCGAGAAAAGCGAATGAAGAGCAGCCGTCGGATGCCATGCAAATTCGCATTGATAAGCGAGAGCAAAAAAAAAAAAAAAAAAACAAAAAGAGACAGTAGATGGGGTTACTGGCGGAGATGGTATTTGAAGTGCAGAGTGTTAGGCGCAGGCTCTTTGATATGGGGCCTAGATAAAGTTCGCTTTGATGTTGAATCGTGGTGTTTCTTTTCTTTCTGCTTTCAAGCTTCATTGGCAAATAAGTTAATTACTTTATTTTAAACCGGAACTCCTATCATTGAGCAATTTACAAATACTAACACACAACCAAAAATGAAATTAAAAATTTACACTGATCACAACCCTACGATATGTCCCTGCGTTGGGCGCCATTTTCCCTACTCATTCACTCTAAACTTTAACCAAGAAAAGTTATTCAAATTTATATTATACGACTTCCGAAGAACTTGTTTAAACGCCTTGGTATCGTTGAGTTTTGTTTGTTTTTTTTTTTTTTTTTGAGGGTGTGGTGTAGCTTAAATAACTAATGCGGTAAACAAAGAAGACGTACAGTACTTACAAATCCATGTTTATCACTAATATTGTTGGTCAATTTTAATTTGTGAAATGAAACAACTTTCTGCATCCATTGCTCACCCGTTGTGGGCGAATCTGGATGGATATACATGCGTTTTGGCATCTCGGGGTCCGCTTTCCCAGCCACCATCCAGCGACTGTAATTACGGTTGTATAAATATGGATTGAACCCTCTTTTCTTGTGTGTTTTCTTTTTAAACTCACCTATTATGAAATTTATAACGATAATCGTCCGCCGCCACGATGTCCAGTAGCAAGATGTATTTAGCCTTGGCATCCAGTCCCGAAACACGAAATTTCATTTGCGGAAACATTTGTCTGAAACGAGGGAAGAGATGAGCGAAATGAGGAATTAGAGATGGGTGTGCTACGGTTGGGATAGAGGGGTGTATGGTCATTTTCCCGGGCTAATCAAATAAAACATTAATCAGCGAGGCCTAAGACGACCACGTTCTGGTTCTCAGGGGCCCACCTTCGGGGCTGAGATCCGTCGAAGATCATCGCTGCTGCTGCCATGCGAATGCCAGCTAAACCACAGCCGCAGTCGTAGTCGCACTCGCAGTCGCACAATCATCATCATCATCATTATCAGATTCGGACTGCGACGAGTTGGCCAAAAGCAAACAAAACCAAACCAAACCAAACCAAACCCCAGACCAGACCAGTCGGGCTATCAAGTGGCGCCAAGCCACAAATTGTTTCGGCTCGACTCCCCGAACTCCGACTCGGATTCAAATTGGCCTAAAAAGAGAGGCAAAGGCATAGCCAGAGCCAGAGCCAGAGCCTGAGTTGGCCAGGTTGATTAGCCATGTTGGTGGCAATGTGCAAACTCGAAAATTACATGGCCCGGCCAAAAGGGGGAACACACACAGGCGATTCCTCCGATGCTGCGCTGCGCTCCGCTGCGATGTCGTTGTCCCTCGGAACCGAAGCCCAACATCGCACCATCCGAACAGCCCAGCCCAGCCCAGCCATCCACATCTACATCCACCCAAAAAGGAGTCCGGAGATGGACGCAGAGGCAGAGGCGTCCACTTTGGCCAGAGGAGATCTCGCCCTGCACACACACGGGCATAAATATGAAAATTATAACTTTAAGTAGCAATCACTCAATCGCTGTTCGGGTTCAGGTTCACCATGGACACACTGAGAAAAAACAAGCTAGTTTTAAACTCAATTAATTTACCATTTCGTTCGATTCCCGAACTAATATGTATAGCTATAATCCCTATAAATCCCAACTAGTTTTTTGCGTAGCTTACAGAATTCTTTAAACGCATTATATTATGCCAGGCTAGTATATACAGCTATTTACAGTATAACCATATAATTCCCAACTGCTTTTTTGGCTAGCTTAAAAAGCTTGGGTAAGGCTTGCTTAGTAAAGTAATTTGTTAATTGATAATTATGATTTTAAAAACTTTAGACTTGAATAAATGATATGATAAAATCGATTTTACAAAAAGCTGCCTGATCGTAAATCTGTGAAGATTATATATGGTTAATTGTAGACCCAAAAACTGTGTGAATTCTCAATGCCAAATCTTTTTCGCAGTGTCTATCTGAGGCTACAGATTCAGGTTGAGGTTTGGACTCTCGGAGCGAGAGCGCCTCATGAATCAAATTTAACGAACGTCTTGTTCATGTTCACAGATCATCATCAGCTGCGACTGCATTTTGATAAAAACCAACAAACATTGGGGGATACTTTGGGGGGATATATGCAGCGTGGAGGAGGAGGGCTAACAAGCTGACTGATGTCTGACTGACTGGACGGGACTGGAGGAACCCCGAATCCGAGGATGTTTCTATTTGGAGGAGCACCCCCTTTTCATGAGAGTGTGTGGGGGGATGGGGGGAGGGTCTGCCTGCCTTTTTTGACTGCAAATTATTTTTTATTTGCCAGGAACGAAGAAGGCACGTCTGTCTGCCTTTCCTTGCCTTGCCTTGCTTTTGGTTTGGACTCCTTTACTTTTTTTTGTTTTTTGTTTTTTTTTTTTTCTCGCTGCCCGGGCTTTTGTTTTTGGCGAGAGAAGAGTCTTAGTGTATGTGTGTGTGTGTGTTGTCTTAACTGAATAGCTCGTTAACATTATTGAGCACTTGGCGCCAGTTGTTGGCAGCTTGTTATGGCCAGAGACCAGAGACATGGCCCCAAGCGAGGCCGACTTTGGAGCCAGTTTCCTGGGCCCACACGCCGTATTTCTCTGCGCTTTTTTCTTTCTTTTTCTTTTTTTTCCTTCGATTTTTTCCTTTTTTCTTCTTATTTTCCTGGCTCTTGCTCGACAACAAAACGATTTGCTCTCGTTTGTGTTGGTTCCACAGACTTGTGGCCAAAAAGACCAAGACCGAGACCGATACCCCGAGATTCAGGTTCGTGCAAATCGTTACGTGTAAAACTTGCACCTTTTGACCAGAGCGCACCCAGCGTTCGCTGTTTGTTTTTGCCACACACATTTTGAACAGCAAGGAGAGCCACATCCACATCCACATCCACGTCCACGTTCACATCCAGATCCATAGCCACCAGCAGCACGGCTAATTCAATTTCCCCCGGCCAAAAGTGTTGAAGGCAGTTGGCAAAACGAGGAAAACGACGAACCAAGGCAAAGGAGTCCATGAGCCCATAATTAAGCTTAATTAAGGCTCAGTGCGTTTTCTGTATTTTTTTTTTGCCTTCTTGTTATTTTTGAGTGTGTTAAGGTGTCGCTCAGTTGTCCTTAGCCCCGTCAGGCCCACATAGGGGTTAATGGCTAATCAATTAGCCCGGACCGAAAATAAAATACTCAACGATTGAGTTGTAATTGGGTTGGGCTCGGCGCACAAAAAAATAAACAGTGTTAAGACCTTAATAAAGGAGAAGTAGGGGAAATAATGATAAAATGGGGAAACAAAATAGGGTCACCCAAACATTCAAACCTTAGGAGTTAAAAAAAATACCTATATAAATAGGAAACGTATACTCTATATATTTAATAGAATAGAATAGATGCAATTGAAAATTTTAACATTTATCATAGTCAGAAAGTCTATAAAAACAAATCTGGAATATATACACTTTGACAATGTGTATTCATTGATAATCACATTGTAGAAAATGAACTACTAGCTGAGTGTATGTATACATTAAAAAAAAAAACCATAAAAATGTACACAAAAAACATACACACTAATGTGTTTATTAACACTCAAATAAAGCTTTTTCATAAATAAATTATTCCGCTGTTAATTTCTCACTTAACACTTAAACAATCAAACAAAAAACCTATTCTTTTTTTTTAAGAATCTTGTTATTGCAGAACAAAATAAATTAAAAAGAAACGAAAATTATAAAATAAAAATAGGTACAAAAAAATTAATTTATAAAAAACAATGAATACATTGTTTATAGGTAGAAACCACCCAGTTGCAAGTCACTCATGGTGAATTTGTTAGGTATTTCATTTTACAAAATCGATCCTTCGTCGGCACTTATCTAAATCTTGGCTGCTTGCGGTGGCCATGTAATCGATTAATCGATCCCATCAGCGGATCCGCAGGTGACATCTGTGTACCCTGTGTGTCCCGAGACATACCCTCCTGCCAAGGACTAAACGGCGTCTATTAACGCACCTGTGCCGATTTCGAGAGGACAGGTGAGTGGTGAGTGCTGAGAGGTGAGGGGCCGACCTGCCTTAGAAGCGTCAATGCATTATCTGATAGTCAATCAAACAGCAGCCCAAAACCCAAAACCAAAAAAAAAAAAAAAAACCCAGAGAAAAGAGGCTGCAAATGTCAATGATGATGGAGGGGGACAAACAGAAGGAGGAACCGCCAGACGCCGCCAGATAAAAAAATAAACACAAAAAATAACCAACACTGATGAAAAATTGAGCAGTAAAAAGAAATATATGAATTCAACATTTTTTATTTCATATTTAAATTAAATATGCAAAATTACAATATACAAATATTTAAATTAATATGGAAAGCTTATAAATGCATTGTTTTAAATTCAATGAAGCATTTATTAAAAATGTAAATTTCAAAAATAAAAATGAATTCCAAAATGAGTCAAATGAAAAATTAAAAAATAAATAAAATTGCAATAAATGAAAATCAAAGCGAAAAATATTTTAATTGATTATGGAAAAACCTGGTCGTAATAAGTATTTTTACCAGTGTACAGAGTTTGGCTTGCAAAACGCATTCGTGGGTATTTTTCTCCTTTTTTTTTTGCTGTTCTCCTTTTGTCAACAAGGCGCGGGGATTAAAGTAGCACCTGCAGTTGGCCCAAAGGGAACCGAAAATTGGTCGTAGTGCGGGGAAACCCTCAAGATATAGGGGCTGGCTGTGGGGATCCGTTGACAGTTTGGCTTTGTGACAACAAAATTGCTGTCGTTTTTTTCCGTAATCTTTGTCAACACATTGCCAATGGATTTCCGATAACTCCGAACCCCAACCCAAAAAAAAGAAAGGGTGCATATTCTCTACATCATCTTACATCATTTGCCTAGAGAACATCTGTCTTTTTCGTCCGGTTGATTTATTTATTTGGCCACTTTTTGCATTGCATTTAATTTGAATTTTATTGAATGACAATGCATGCAAATTGCTTGAGAAAAAGGGAACGTTTTTTTCGTTTTTCGTTTTTCGTTTTTTTTTTCATTTTACAGATGTACATCGTTTGGATATTTGACAAATTTGTGAGCCCATCATCGGCAAAACTGTGGCCAGAAACAGGGAGACAGAAACAAGAAGGACCAAAAGGCAGCTGCATCATAAACGTTAATTACCCACACGAAGGATCGGGGCAAATTAGTTAAACCAATAAACTGACAGGCGAAGGAGACTGACTGACCAAGTGGCTGGCCGGCCATATATCAGGTCTATATAATAATAAAACAATTTATGAAGGCATAACCACGGCCCCAAGTCGTCGTAAACACGCTGCCCGTTTGTTTTAGCCTGTCAGTTAGTGGAAACGCCCACTCCCGTCGTCTCGTTTTGGCCCGAAATGGATGGCCATGTCATTAAGATCGGAGGCCCCGAAATCGCCGAAACAGGATCACGGGCTCCGACCAGTCGACTTATCGTATTGGCGGGGATAAATTCTACAACATACAACATATATATACATATACGGGAATGTGGCTCAAGAAGCACAAAGAAAACTATCTTATCGATGAGTGCCCGACCCTGAGCAGCATAAATCTGACGCAATGAATAAATCAAATGTGGGAAATCGGGTGTAATTACAATTTGATCGCTTCATTTTGGGAGAGCGTGAAACGAGCGATGCTAATGGTAATGTGGAACCAAAACTAAACGAATTTGAGATG